GGAAAATATATCACTAATTAGTGTAACAAAATAAGCATTAGTTAACATATTACCTTTACTAACTCCATCCACATCATATTGATCGTCTTCATCATCAGTAAGTATGTTTTCACTCTCTAATAATTTAAATTTTTTTCATACATACAAAGGTATAAACAAAAAATAAATAATAATTACAATCAAAATAATTTCAAATACGTTTATAACAATACCTTGACATGAGTGTCTTCGTGATAAATCATGTATTTTTTCCTTTACCCTTAGAAATTACGGATATTTTCTTCTTAATGTGATTCTTAATTGAAAGACTACTCTTACTGTAAAATTCAACTATGAATTTATTATATTGGTACTATCAAATGAGTAAACTTCAATTATGAATTTATTTATGTCCTAACTATTACTAATATATATATATATATATATCTATATATTATGTGCGGTTATTCGGTTAACCAAACCAAACCGAACCAAACCACGGATTTCGGTCCGGTTAACGGAAATAAAAGTATAAATCTGATAACAGAACTATTAACCTTCTTATAAGAGCTGTTCGGTTAAAAATTCGAACGGACAACCATTTTGAACTGTCTAGGTGTTGTTCTGTCTTTTGGATTTTTTTTATTTTTTTTGTTGCATCTGTTGCTAATTATGATTTTAAAGCTTTAGCTTTTCTCTTTCCCTTCATGTTATTTTGAGCTCGAATTGAAAGGGAAAACAATTACTATGTGCTTGCGTAAATTTGACAGAACAACCTTGATTAACTCGATCAATTTGACTCCTGTAAGATATATATCTCAGATTCAAGAACAAAAAGAATACCAAATCCACGTAATATCATCAAATGTAAACTTTCTCACAAGAATTACTACTACCCCACTGAATTGGCCGGTCCCTGACCAGGCCAATCCTCCATCCTTGGCCGGTGAGAAATCCGGCCAAGGTTCCTGGGCTGGCCGGCGGTCGGGTCGGCCAACCTGGATAGTTTTTATTTTTTCAAATTTTTTTTTGTGTTTTTTTTTTATTTCATTGTTGTAATATTTTTTGTTATAATTAATTTAGTTAAATTTATTTATAACTAATGTAATTAGTTGTTGTATTATTATTTAATTAATTTAGTTAAATTTATTTATAATTAATGTAATTAGTTGTTAAATGTTGTGTTATTATTTTTTATATGTCGTTTAGTTTTTTTGTGCTTTAGTAACATATTTAATTTAATTTATTATGTATAATTTGTTAATTTAATAATTAGTGTAGATTAGGTATGTGGTATATGTTTATTTAATTAATTAAATACATATTTGTATGTGGTATTTTAGTTAGTATTAATTTATAGGCTTTAATAATTATTGTTTACGTAAATGAAATAGTTATTTTGTTATGCATATTTTATTTTGTTAAATTTGATATATTTCATTTAAAGGGTTATGGTAGTGACGGTGTTGATTTACAGTCATCATTTCAATACTATTATAAGATTCGCAACTTTTGAAGCCGCTGTGCAATGGGCTAAAAAGACTGCGATATATTTTAATTTCACAGTGGTTAAGGCGTCGAAGACAGATGAGACTAAGAAATTATTACGATATCCAAAGGGTGTTCCCCCTAGAGATACAAAGAATCGGGTGCGGGAAACAAAGGCGCAGTATTGTGGAGGCTCGTTCCAGCTTCTAGCCCAAATTCGCCCATGCGAATCTATTTTTGGGATTAGTTCATGTCCGGTCGTAAAGGTACGCATAACCACCCGTTTGGCAGATTCGAGGAGGGACAGATGCATATGAGCAATCATAGTGATAAATCAAAGGAGATTATTGACAATTTGACTACCATTAATATAAAACCGTCTGCAATACTGCGGGCGATTCAACATGAATGCCCGGACGAGCACGTTGTGATCAAACAGATATACAACTACAAGAGTAGGATGCAGGTGGAAAAGAGGAAGGTAAAACATGGGTGGATCACTTTTTTGACATTACTCAGCAACACAAGTATGTGATTACTACAGCTGATGAAAAAGGTGTGTTGAGTCATATTTTCTGTGCACATCCAGTATCTGTAGAATTGATCCGAGCATACCCCTGGTATATTGGCATGGATACTACTTATAGAACAAACATGTATAATATGACGCTGTTACAAATTATTGGGATGACTCCAACCAACAAGAATTTTCTGATTGTATACGTAATTATGAAGGATGAGAAGAAGGGCATGTCAACAGCTTCGGAATATGATTGGATGGGAGGTGCAGCCCTATGCCATAGTAACGGACAGGGAGTTAGGGCTGGCTGAACCAATCAGTTTTATATTTCTAGATTCTGCACATCTTTGTGCGTGTAGCACATCAACAAATGTGTTTTTGAAAATGCACGGCGGTATTTTGGAAAGAAATTCACGAACTGGTGGAAGAAGGAAATGTTCGATCCGATACTTGAAGCTCTTACTGAGTACCTTCATGAAATGGCTGTGATTAATATGTTATACTATAGGCACCCAAATGCGAAAAGTTATGAAGAGTTGGTGCATTATGTCAAGATCACTTGGCTAGTTCACAAGGAGAAGTGGGCTCGTGTGTGGACACATGGGGTCACGCATCTTGGAAACACAAGTAATTATAGGGTGGAGAGCGCCCATAGTTCCATGAAGAGATTTCTTGACTCGGTGACTAGTCACCTAGTTACATTGTGGACTAGAATCCACGCAGCGATCGAGAATCAGTTAACTGAGATCAAGTACATAATTCGTTCGTTGTTTAATTTTTTTTTTAATAGTTAATTACCAATGATCTTATATTAACAGTGAGGAATTTAAAATGTAGGTTTCATCTAACCGAATCAGAACGCCGTTCGAGGAGAGAGCACCTTCAGTTTCCCTATGACCGTTTAGCTAGATGTGTCTCACATTACTGCTTGGACATTCTTCAAAGTGAGTATACTTACATGTAGTAATTGGGTGAGGATGAATTTTGTGGTTGTATGTTGAGAACGACCCATGGAATCCCCTGTGCATGTAAGCTTAAACAGAAAACGGAGTCGCAGGTTCCTATTACAGTTGCCGACCTCCACCCTTTTTGGAGTAGACTTAATTACAAGTGCGACACCTGATTCGGCCCCAAGTGATGATGCTCAACCTTTTGTGTCAGAGGAGCATACGATTTTTACAGAGCTTTCCCTTAAGGCGTTCAACAAGGGGCTTGAATTTTTGAGCCGCGTCAATGTGTTTCTGCACCATGAGCTGGAAGAAGAGAAACACCATGAGCAGATGAGTTTTGAGGAACAAGAGCAACACCATGATTAGATGAGCTTTGAGGAACCTGCATTGAAGGCGAGTGTTAAAGGGCACCCAAAAGCGTATATCCCGTGGAAACAGTATTATTGGGAGAAGTATACTATTGGTTCAGGGAGATCTCGCATGAGCACATCCTCGCCTACATTCGATGATACTCGTAAGAATGTTTTGAATTTTTTTTTTGATGTCACATTTTATTTTTAAACATTTACAATGACAATGTACATAACGTGAATATTTTTTTTTTTAGGTGAGCAAAGAGGTTGGAGGACGGATTTTCATTCATATCAGTTTCGGCAATCTATTCCGTCTTTTATGGTTCCCTTAGTTCGGGGGTACCTTGATGTAAGGAGAGATGGGAACTGTGGGTTCCGATGTGTAGAAGAATATGTTCGAAATTCATAAGAAGAATGGCCGTGGGTCCGAGCAACCATTATTCAAGATCTCTGTACATAGCCTGATTTATATGATCCTCTGTATTACTATGAAAGGGAACAAAACATACGACGGTTAAGGTGGCTGGTAGGTGGATGCCTTCGGCCCCATTATATTGAAAGCACACAAGACTTGTACACCATTGCTACTATCTACAATGCTGCAGTTTTTCTGTACGGTCTCGGGGATACATTAGACGGGAATCTGGGTTATTATTGTATGACAGCATTGCCCATTACTGATCATGGAGACGCCGGAAGACCAACTCATGAGATTGTGCTTGTTCGCCTCGGTTGTGTAGCTCATTACATTTGTGTTGATTTCGGTAGTGATTTTCCTGTTCCTCCTGTACATCCTTATTGGTTTAGGTGGCGTGACAACACTGTTGTAGGCTGGGAAGATGAGTACCATTCTAGGATAGCAGAGTGGAATAGACTTTCTGGTTCTAGTTATTAGTTGCATAACATTTTTTTAAATTGTTAAAACTAGTTATTTAAATTTCATATGTTTCAATGCAAATTTTTTCAAACATTAAAACACATAACATAACATTCTAAAATTGCAAAGAAATCTAAGAAGTAACACATACCATAACATTATGAAATTGGAAAGAAATCTAAGAAGTAACACATAACATAACATTCTAACAAAATACACATCAATCTCTCTGGCTCAATCGGAATTCATTCTGAAATTGAGAAAACAATGCCGCATGCTCCTTTGCTCTCTCTGCATCAATTTTGCGGATTGTCTCCAATGCGCTTCTATGAAGCCCGGACAATCGGGTGACCCACTGCATAAAATAAAAATAAATAATTTACACAATTAATAATAAATTGTATAAACATTTCAAGAAATGGTTATGCAATAAAGACTTACGTGAGATATGGTTCCAACTCCACCTATAGTAGTGGCATCTGAAACCAAGAGAGGATCCGAATACCGATAGTAACACTGGAGGTAATTAGGAGCGCATGTAGTCTGATCATCATCACTCCGGTGAAACAACTCTAGATCCAGCGTGGAACTGAATGGGAATTGCATCCAAGCATCTAATGCCATAGTGGGAGCCATGAAACCTTGTAGGATAGGTGATTACCACTACGATCCTCACTCAGGGGATGAGGAATAGGTGGAGGGATGACCTGGATGTACCCAATCAAGCGCAATACTCGATTAGGCAAATATGGCCCAAGAATATCTTTGTACAGTCTCCAGCCAGTGTATATAGTCCTCGGATCATCGCAAACAGGAGCGGGGATATAAGGCAATCATTCAACCTACACAAAAGATATAAGATACATTAACAACATTATTTTGCATAACTATTATTAATTAGAAGTGCGAAAAGTGACGTACCTGATCGGGTGTTACCTTGTCGATCTGGCAGAGAAGCTTCATCAGATGATCTGGCATGTTATCAGGATTTGAGACATTCCACCATCCAGCTCGGGGTCGGTCAGGAGCCTCAACGGGACCGCCCTGAGGTGGTCTAAAACATGGGAAGTACACATATATCCACGCCTGAAGTAGTGTGTAGCATCCAGACATTGAGACATTTTGCAATCGGGTGGACACGCCTAGCTGACGGTAGAGGTAGGCTAGAGTAGCAGACCCCCAAGAAATATTGCCACAGGTGACTAGGTCATCAATAAACTTGGAGAGGATCGCCGCTCTAATCCGAGTCCCGCTCTTGTCGGTAAACAACGTGTTCCCTAACATGACCCATAACCAGGCGGTCACCTGATCTACAGCAGACGCTGCCGCTCGGCCTGTCTTCGCAGCAAGGCCCGACGGAACCCCTCCACCGTGGATTACTTTACTAGTCTGTAGCGTCTGGCTAGTCATTCTCAGCGCCCTCATGACCAAAATCTTACAATCGGCAGTCCCACATTGTGTTGTAATCAATCTACCTTCAACGGGAATACCCAATATCTGTCACACATCGTATAACATGATGGTCATCTCCGCAAAAGACATGTGAAATGTGTTGGTGTCCGGCTGCCACCTCTCTACAAATGCTGTAATCAATGCCTTATCAATGTTGGTGTGCATGATGTCCACAATGTGGGATAACCCTGTACCAGGCAACAAGATCTGAGCCTCAGTTGACATAGAACCGTTCCATTCTTTCAACAACTTGAAGTATGTGACTCTTGTATCCATCTCCAAGGAGGGTTTGCACAACTTAGCCGTCAAGCGATGAGCTACATGACGAGGAAAACTAGGAATAACAGAACCGTCATGAGGGCCAGCAACAACTGGTCTCGTGACAACCCAAGGCTGGGCATTACTCGCTGAAATTAACGTAAACAAATCATTCAATTTTTTCCCGATCAAATATTTGAAAAAACTTAACTACTAAAATGTAAAATATAAACCCCATACACTAATTTTTTACCTGCTGATGATGATGCAGATGCAGATACAGATGCTGATGCAGATGCAGCTCCAAGTCCTCTAACCCTAAGATGGATAACATTGCTTCGTCTAGCTGGAGGTGAATGTGGAGGTGAATGTCGAGGTGAATGTGGAGGTGAGTCACCTCCGAAATCATTAAACCCTTCCGAGTCGATATCTTCAGTTGGGACATCATTGTCACTCACATTCTGTTGGTCCCAACTGGCATGATCAAATACATCGTCAATTCCCACACTACTACCGGCCTGACCCATATGTGACTGACCCTGTGACTTATGCCCACTTGGACTCCCACGATGTGCAGAGGCAGAAATAACTCGACTATGCATGTCCTGTGTACCTGACGCAACCAACAATGAAGAATCAGGTACCACTGGCCTTTTCTTTTTTCTCCTTTGAACCTACATTAATGAATATATATACCTACTCCATTACAATAATCAAAATAGAAACTAAAATAAATTTAATGAAATAAATTATACCTAATTAATTTGTCCTTTTAACCTACATTAAATATTATATATAAATATTCCATTAAAATAAATATTCAATAGAAATTAAAATAAATTCAATTAAGTAAATTACACCTTATTAATTTGTCCATTTAACCTACATAAAATATTATATATAGCTATTCTTAAAATAAAGATTAAAATATAAATTAAAATAAATTCAATTAAATTAATTATACAAATCTAATTAAATTTCTCCCTTTTTATAATGATTCAAATATAAATTAATACAAATCTAATTAAATTAATTACAACTAGTAACACTAGATTCAACAACTAATTACATTAATTATAAATAAATTTAACTAAATTAATTACAATAAAAAAATATTGAAACAAAAAACCATAAAAAAAGATTTGAAAAAACACAAAAAAAAAACTGCGCAAGCTGTCCGACCCAAGCGGTCACTGTTCAAGGATTGGCCGGTCCCTGGTCACGCCAATCCTTCACCCTTGGCTGGTGAGAAAGCCGGCCAAGGGTCCCGGGCAAGTTTTTTTTTCAAATTTTTTAAAATAGAATTTAGGAAAAAAAGAACTTACTAGCATTGACTGTGAGCTTTCCCGTTGTTGTTTGTCGCGTTCCGCCATGTTTTTTGAGTTCGGTTCTTACTAGATCTGGATTTCAAGTTTGAAGAGAAAAAAAGGAGAAGAAGAAGTTGTTGAACAAGAATGAAAGGGGAAGAAGAAATGAGGAAGGAGAACAAGAAAGGTAGAAAAGGTTCAGGGGCAAAATTGTCCAAAACGAACTGTAAGTGAGTAATTTTTGAATTGCGAAAAACAATTCAAAGTCCCCCAATAGTACATGCTCATATTTTGATGCCGTCTTTGAAAACTCAACTTGCTATTAGTACATTCTTCCTTACAGATCCAATGGTCTGGAAGCCTCCTAAAGACATTAAGACTAGCTGGGCATAGAGTCCCTACTATCCAATGGTCTGGAAGCCTCCTAAAGACATTAAGGCTAGACGGGCATAGAGTTCCTACTACATCTCCAACTATACAATCCCCATAACGAAAATGTCATAAATATTTTTTACTCTGCTGCCTTGGATCACTATTACGTCATGAAAGCATGTTTCTTTTGGAAAACATTAACATATTTCTAATGTCAACAACACTTTTCTTCGCGATTCCTTAGAGGAGGTAGTCTACATACTTCCACCTCTAGGCTACAGTGAGGTACAGCCTGGACAGGTTTGCAGATTGAAGAAATCTCTCTAGGGTTAAATCAAGCCTCTCGCCAGTGGAATTTAGAGTTCTCTACCAGGTTAACAAATTTTGATTTTCAGCAATCGTATCATGATCCCTGCTTGTTTTTTTTTATTACTCTTCAATCTCAGGTTTTCCTTTTAGTATATGTTGACGATGTGATAGTCACTGGAACTAGTGATGATGAGATAGCTCGTGTTAAAGCTTACCTTCATGATCTTTTCACTATTAAGAATTTGGGTCAGGTCAAATATTTCCTTGGCATGGAAATAGCACGTCCTAGTTCTGGTATTTTTATTAGTCAGGGGAAGTATATTACTGATCTTCTTGCTTCTGTTGGATTGCTGGATTGCAAGGCAGTTAGTACTCCTCTTCCACCAGGATTACAATTTGTCTCCGAAGATCGAGATCAAACTCCTCTTTATCATGATCCTGCCCAATTTAGAAGGCTAATTGGTCGTCTTTTATATTTGAATTATACTCGGCCTGACATCACTTATGCAGTACAACAATTGAGCCAACATGTCCAGAAACCTCATTCTTCTCACTGGACAGCTGCTCTCCATGTTCTGCGTTATCTCTCTAGTTGTGTTCATCGTGGTCTTTATTATGCTTCTACTGTTGCTCTTACTCTGCAAGTCTACTGTGATTCAGACTGGGGCTCTTGTCATAGCAGTCGCCATTCCTTGACAGGGTATTGTGCCTTCTTAGGCAGCAGTTTGATCAGTTGGAAAACAAAAAAGCAAGGAACCATTTCGTGTTCCTCCACTAAAGCCGAGTACAGAGCTATGGCAGTTGCCACCAGGAAACTTCAATGGATTTTGTACATTCTGAAAGACTTTTATGTTCAACCTTCTTTGCCCGTTCCTTTGTACTGTGATAGTAAAGCTGGACTTGAGATTGCTGCCAACCCTGTTTTTCATGAAGGAACAAAGCACATCGAGATCAATTGTCAAGTTGTCCGTGACCAATATAAGGCTGGAATATTGCTTCCTCTTCATGTCCCTACTTCTCTTCAGCTTGCAGACTTCTTCACTAAGTCCCTTGCAGCTTCTGTTTTTGGTTTCCTCTTGTCCAAGATGAGCATATGGAATACTCATCTTAGGGGGGTAAAGAGTGATCAACATCAGGAATCTGCATACATGGTGATTCCACAAAACGAGATTCGATCCCGAGATCACTTGATGAACTTCGCTGTTTGCTTATTATCCTTAATTGTAAATATTAGGAAGTTTGGTCAGTTATTTCTAAATAGCAGGGAGTTAGTTAGTTAGCAGAGTATATAAGCAAACTTGTAAGCAGTTTTTCAGGGATTGAAGATTCCAGATAATCAAGAAACGGTTTCAAACTCTCTCTCTCTCGTTCTTGAGTTTTCCCATATCAGAAATATAGTTTATACATTCTTGATCTTACAGATTTCATTCATGCATCGATTCTTTGATAGCAAGAAAGGAAGAAGAATCGATAAGGAAGAGGCCTAGAGAGAAGAGGGGAAAACAAGAACAGAATTGAGAGGTAAACACACAATTCGAATCAAAGTCAAATTGTAGGGGTTGTGAATTTGGTAATGAATTTGAAAAGTTTAGAGAAAATGTATTGTTTTAGCTAAAATCTTTTGCTTAAAGAAGATGAATGTGATGGAATTTCGAAATTGGAAATGGGATTTTTTTTTTCCGTTATTGGGACTTCGAATCGTTTCGAGCGGTCTCCTATGCGCCTCCAAAGATTCTTGTTGCTGCGATTATTTTGTTAAAACTTTTTGGTTTCAATCACTGTTTGTCGAAGGCGATCGCGTTGTTTATATAGTTTGTCAATAGCTTTGTGGTTGTTTTAAGCACTTGATTTAAACATGACCCTTCCAGACAATGAACCCCTAAAGAAAATCCTGATTTTGATGCTGATTTGGGGAGCTCGTTTTCCAATGTCATGATCTGTTTTTGTGAGGTTCTTTTTCATGAATTCCTTCCTCGTTTATTGCGGATCAATCAGTTGTTTTGGTCTTTTGGATTGCTAAGCGGGCATAGTTTGTCCCAAAGTTGGATTTGAATAGACCAACCTATTGTGGAGTTTCTGAAACTTCGGCTTAGAGGTGCTGTTTTGGCGATCGGTTTTCTCTTGATTTTAGAACTGTTTTTTCCTGAGTCATTTTGAGGAAACCCAACCTTGTTCATTCTGGTTTACAATAGATTTGACAGATAATAAATCCGATGTTCGGTTGGGTTAATTACATGCCTTTAATATGACACCTTTTCTACCCGTTACTGAATTTTCAGAATTCATTTGAGTGAGATGCTTACTTTGAATCGGATGTTCAGGGCTTGTTTGGCCAACATTTTGTTTTAATTTTTGTGATGGTTTTTGATTTGGGTTTGAGATGTAATTTAAAATGTGGTTTGAGATAAACTTTAAATTTTTGTTTAGGTGATATTTTAAATAAATTAATAATATTTTTAGACCATCACTGGACCACCTTCATCACCGCCGCCGCCGGCAGCCAGAATTTGGCCGGAATCCGGCCGGCCGGCGATGGTCCAGCGGCAGCGGTGGGTGGTGGTGGAGGTGGTCCGTTGGCGGTGAATGAAAATTATGTAAAAATAATTTTTGGAATATTTTTTAAAAGCTAAATTAAAAAATTGTTTGGATAGTATTAAGATTTGTGTTTGAGAGGTGTTTTAAGAGATAAAATGAGACCAAAATGTAAAATAAGTGTTGGGCAAACAAGCCGTTATTCTTCAGGCGTTATCAAATTCACCTAGCAGTCCATTTTTAAGGTGGGAATCGGAATTGGTGGTACCGTGGTTGTGACGGTAGAATTTATAATCGGCACCTTAGGTATTTATTAAGGGCTCTATTTGAGGCAAGAGTGAACATGGGAAGTGAGGAAATGTGGAGTAAGAATAAGTACAGTATAATAGTTCCTACCTACAACGAGAGGCTGAACATTGCTCTCATAATATATCTCATTTTCAAACATCTACCGACTGTTGATTTTGAAATCATAGTTGTTGACGATGGGAGTCCGGATGGTACTCAGGATATTGTAAAGCAATTGCAGTCTGTGTATGGCGAAAATCGTGTACTGCTGAGGCCTCGACCCAAGAAACTTGGTTTAGGAACTGCCTAATGCCTATATCCAGGGTTTGAAGCATGCTTCAGGCAATTTTGTAGTTATCATGGATGCTGATTTGTCTCATCACCCAAAGTACCTGCCAAGCTTCATTAAGAAACAGATGGAAACAGATGTAGATATCGTTGCTGGAACTCGATATGTCAAGGGAGGTGGTGTGCATGGATGGAATTTAATGCGGAAGCTGACGAGTAGAGGAGCAAATGTACTTGTTCAAACATTACTCTGGCCCGGGGTGTCGAACCTGACTGGATCTTTCCGGCTATATAGGAAATCTGTTCTTGAAGAAGATTGAGCTCATGTGTAAGTAAAGGATATGTCTTTCAGATGGAGATGATTGTTCGTGCTACTAGGAAAGGCTGTAAAATTTCTGAGGTTCCAATTACTTTTGTTGATAGAGTATATGGAACTTCCAAGCTGGGAGGATCTGAAATAGTGGAGTACCTGAAGGGCCTTGTTTATCTTCTTCTTACAACCTAGACAAGGAAACAGAAACGATCCCATTCTTGAGAAATTAATTAGTTTTTGGGGGATCAAGTTAACTTGTAGGAAAGGAATGACAGATGGAAAATAACAACACTGATGACTTGAGTTTTGTTTTCTTCTTCTTCTCTTAATCCTAGTTTACTAGTATTCAATCACCATTATTTCTGTTTCTCACAAAAAAAAATGGTATTATTGCGGCTTATTGTTGGGATTACTTCCGCCGGTTTAATGTTGGGATTACTCCTGTTTGTACTAATCTTGGGATTATTCCGTTTTTATTGTTGAGGTTACCCGTTTTGTTCTAATGTTGGGAATAGTCATGCTTATCATTTGGATCACTCCCATTGCCCAAGTGCTTGAATTACTCCTGTGATGAAATGAAGTTGAATTGCGTATGTGTTGAGATCTGTACTTTGATTTGACATAATGATATGTATAAAGAGAATGTTTGTCTGTGGGCTCTCAATTCGATTGCCCGTCTGAAGTCGTGGGGAGAAGGATTCACTGAGCGCAAGCTGACTCAATACATACCTCCTCTCCCAGGTTGGAGAAGTCAGCAAGAAAGCAGATGGAGCAGTGGTCGACTTTTGGCTTAGAATACTGCCAAGTATTTGATGGCCTATCATTTCTTTAGCTGTAATTTCCTTCCAAAGAGGTTTAAGATGAGTTTCATAGAGTGATGCAGAGTAGGAAGAACAGAGCATAAGGCGGTTATCTATTGTTGTGGCATTTTGTTGCTTTTTTTACATTGTTTAATTGCTGGTAATTGTTCGCCATACAATTCAGGATGAAGTAGGAATAGTATTGATGTTCTCAAACAAAGTTGTCTTGTCTAATACCTAAATTAAGACAACTAGGATCCAAAAATGTCTAGGAGTATCTAGAAGTGCGACAGGGGCTGCAACTAGTCCAGCCTTTGCGGAAATGCTGTGAATCTCTTGTTTGCTCTCTCATCAACGAAATTGTCATTCTTGTCCGGCCCTGCAACCAAGGCTCGTTGAAGAACATTCGGATTTGGACTGTTCTTTTAAAGCCAAAGATCTCATTGTTTACATGTGTAGGATTTATTATCCCAAGGGATTGATGCTGCTTTATGATGAACTTGGCTAGGGTAATAATCACCATATCCTACCAAGTAGCTCATTTTACTTTGATTAACTCCCAAAATGTAGTGAACCAAACCGTCTAGCGCGCTGAGGATTGGTCTGGTTCCAAAGACTAATCCGGGCCGTATGGTTTCAAATTTCCAAAGACGGGAGTCATTATTTGGTCTCAAATTAGACAAAAATCAGACTAAACTGAACCGTGAACACTCTTTTATAGGCGCTGAAAATAAGAAGAATAATAACCGAACCGTGAACATCCCTTTATAGGTGCTGAAAATAAGAGTAATAATAACGAAGAGATTTATAGGTTTGGTAGTCTTGTGTATGTGTTAAGTTGTGTCGTTGTGATGAGTCCTAGCCGGACTTTCATACTCCCCTTCTTGTTGATGAAGGTCGGTGAATGATCCGACATCTTCTTGGTTTTTAATACAAAACTTACTTCGACTTGGTTTCTACATTGTCGCCCGTTTCCTTCATATGCTGCCGGCTTTTAGAAAGTCTTCCGTCCTTCGCATTACGCCGCATCTGTCCAACACTAATGGGTCGACGGAAGTGAAAATTGGTCCGACAGAAAGCATCCATATTTTTGCTGAATACATTACTCCACATGATTAACGCACAGAGTTACTACAAGTTCATCCTTAACCTCGACATTTGACCTTCAATTTTGTTTTAAAAAAAATTATTTTTCTGGAAAAAAAAGAGAAATGATTAAGACAGGTACCGTCGTTCCAATCATCATTTAGGCTCAAAGCTGATACTAATATTATGTCAAAATGAAATAGCTAGTCAACAACATTGCATCATTTGTTTTTTAAGTTTAATGTGCGAAATCGTAAACTAAGCCAGCGGCATGAATCCTGCCTTTTCTGGGGATTTTGTAACAATGACATCATTTATTGTGTCTTAGTTTTTATTTTTATTTTTTGTCATTCCTCGTAACAATATTTTTGTTAAAAAACAAATTAAAGAAATCTGTTTTTAACTTTGCCGACTACCAGTTGGAATCTGATTTTCCCTCCCCGTATCTTCTTACAAGTTATGAAAACCCTATTTTGTGTGCAATATACTACTCCCTCCGTCCCATAATTATTGTTTCGTTTGAGTTTTTCATTTTTAGTTCAAATTGTACTAAAAGTGAAAACCCAAGCTAGACAATAATTTTAGGACAGAGGGAGTACTATTATTGACCTCGCAAGCTAGAACGTAGAAAGATAAATAATATAAACACTCATTGCACCTCAAAATAATTACTGTATTTGTCGAATTGAAAATAATTTTTTCTTGAGGAAAAAGACAATCGTTTCTGGAAGGGAGGAGGACTATATATGTTGGATTAAAAAAAAATTCTGTCATTTTCTTCGTTATTCAAACTACTTGCGAAATGTAAAAAGCATCTAATACTACAGGAGAAGCCCACAAGCTTAAATCAATCTATGTGGCTTACTATATATACATGCATATGCAAACCAATCACTGTAATTAATTAATTAATTCGAAGTACTAAATTAAAGTTTAAATTTGTACGATCGTGTCTCCAGCTTATCCAGAAAGAAAGATATTACATCAAGAGAAGTGGTCGATCAATCTGAAAATGGTCTTTATTTAAATCTAATAATGTGGAAATGACTATTGAACAGTACACTCGTGGAAGATTCCATTTCTTTTCTTCCATTTCTTTCTTGTTTCATTTCTTTTTGGAAAAAAAGAAAAAGAATAGGCCCCCTCTATATTTTACGTTATTCATCATTAAAGATTAAAAAAACTCCTGCGTTGCGCCATATGTTAAGATTTAGGCTAAAATTTGTATGCTAGAATATATTATGTAAAATTTTACGCTCCATCTAAGAATTTCAACTCTTAAAGTGCCTGTAATAGGAATTTTTCAAATCATTTTAAAGTCAAACGTAGTCGATCGGTATGCGGGCATATACCCTTTCCAATTAAGATTAGCAATACACCTCATTATTATTTTCTCATCTTTGTTTTTTCTTTTTTCATTATCTTCCTTTTTTTTATACTTAAATAAAAGGCACAGTAGGCAAGAAATAATACCCAAGAAATATTCAAGAACCACCGTCAAATCGATCTTGTCCGTCGGATAGGGTTGATATGATGTCAGCGACTTATTAAGGGCAAAAACGAGAATTCTAAAATTCATTTTATTCCAATTAAAAAAATCCGTAACCTTGTGGAAAAAACAAATCCCTAACCTATAAAAGGATGTCGTTTTAGGATTTAACTTTGGAATCCCCACACCTGAAAACAATATATTTACAAAACTTGAAAGTTTTTTGTTAAGAAACAACAACAAAACGAGTTCGTTTTGTGGGTTTCTCTAGGGAAAAAAAATAAAAAAATAAAAAATAACTCACACCGTTTAAAATCCCAAAACAGCCCCCGTCAATGTTTCGAATTTTTTTCCCACTAATAACCTCTACAAGGCTGTGCTCCGCCTGCTCAGTCAGGTCCCCCTTTGTCGATTCAGCCGCCACTGCCGCTTCCCTCTCTGCATCCTCTGCCACCACTAAACCTCGAAGATATATTTTCCTTAAACATGCTTCTCCAATTCGTACCATTCCGATTCCACCTCCACAAATTTAACCAAACAAAAACCCTAAGTTCCACCGGAGTCACCCCGTCGAAGAGATTTTGCAAGAATGACTTCCTTCACTTGTACGAGATCAAATTCGTGGGGGAGCAACCGCATGTATCGTATCACGGTGGACATCATGACGGAGGAAGCGAGGCGGAGTTAGGTGTTTGGACGGAATAGGATTAGAAAATTACCTTTTTATTTGATTTGGAGTTGTATGTGTAATATGACTAACAAATTACTGTTTAATTTTTATTTATATATTTCCATAAATTTGGGATTGTAATATGAATAGGCAATTCAGTTCCTCTCTGATTGCAGATTTGTTTTGGGATGAGAATAGAAATCCCCTATCGTCCAGCATGTCTATAGAAACCCGTAGCAACCTCACAACTAGGATCACAAAAGGCTTCCTTCTTCAGCTTACCAGTTTCTCTGATTTCTTCGTCTTTGATTTAGGTAAATCCTTTTTAACCTTTTAATTTCTATTTTTCTTTTTACCTCTGTACGGTAGAAGAAGTTTGAATATTTGTAAAAACTTTTCTCTAGTTCTTTTTTAAATCCTACAAACACGTACTAATTTTGATTCCCTTATTTTTCTCGGTTTTGAAGTTGTGAAATTGTTGTTAATTGAGCAAGGTTGTTGATAATTTTAATGGTTTGGAAACTAATAGACTGTCTTGGAAACAGATATTGCAATGGTTCGAGTAGCAGACTCAATTCCAGCCAGAATTACATAAAAAGTCCCCTTCTCTCACAGGATATTAGCACAAGGGTAAGGTATGTGTTTCTAATTTCTTTTCCCTACAATTAAAGGGCCTGATGGTGTAGAATGTTTGGAATATTTTTTAGAAAAAACTCTAATCACAATGGCTCTATATCCAAAATTTGATTATTATGGGTTTGTTCACTTATTGTTGTCAATAGAAACAATTTATGTTCTGGCTTCTAGAATAATTTCTGCTTGTCCTTGGGAGAATGTTTTTAAGGAGGTATATTATTCTCTAGAGGTAGATCATAGTTAGAAGAGAGGAAGCCGAAAAGTTTCGACTTGTGGCATGAGATTCAGTTAGAGGTTCTTGGAAAGGCAAAATCATGTGTTAGAAAATAGATTTTGTTGTGTTCTAATTTTGTGGGATTAGCTTTACCTTTCTAGACCGGTGTATATACAGGTGAATCTTTCAGCACCACTGATGATAACACTCAGAGCCGATACCTTTTAACTGATAAATAACTAATCAGGATAAGTTTCTCATGTCAAAACTTGTGCATGAGTTTCAATGATTAATTCCTCATACAGTTTATTCAACAAGTCATAGGACTTGTATAGTGATCCATTTATGGTTCTTTGACAGTTCAGTTAGATTATTTTTCTGTGCATAAATAAATTCGATATAGTCATTGGATGTTATTCCTCTTCTGCTAAAATGAGTTTTATTTTGAGATTATCATAGATGAGGCTTCCATGTTGGTTATTTATTGGAACTTTTCCTCCTCACACACTGTATAACTTTTAACATGCCTATCAATGAAGTAAATCTTTGATCACTCAATTGTCCAGTATAGTTTTTGAATGGTAGAGTACTTAAGGTTTTGGGTACCTGTGTTTTGCATCATTGGTATGATCTGCTTGCCCTTTTGTTAAAAGAAAAGTTCAACTTTCTCTGCCAACTGCATTGCGGTATTCTATTGTTATTTCATGTGATCTTTTTTGTTTTTACTGAAGAAGTTACAATCTCTAAGTTATAATATTACTAAATGTTTATGGTTTCCTCTGTCTGCAGATTCCGATGTATGATTGTCTCAAGAATTTGTATTTTACGTTTTTTTTTTGTTATTTGAGCTAGTGGGAATCTAATAAGGATCATCACAGTCATTGATCTGCTACATGCTTTACAATCTAAAACTTCTAGCTCTCTGTCCACTTCCGTTTGGTGAAACTAAGTTGTGGCAAGGCTAAAGTGGATGTGAACTGAAGTAGTAGATTCAGAAGCAGTTCGAGAACATCAGTGCACTAATGCACTATGTTAGATGATAAAAATGTTGCCTTTAGGAAAGTTACAGATTCTTGGCCGTGATATAACAATCTAGAGTTTGACAAGTAAAAGGGAGGCCAAGTGATATTGGTACTATCCCCTGCTGAGTACTTGAAGCTTCTTGCCTCCAGCTTGAAACAACAACCTGATAGAATAACTGAGAGCTTGGCTAGGATGAGATTTGACAGCTTTCTGTGTCTGAGAATTGAGTTGTGATAAGTAACTTAATAGTCCCCTTAGTTTTTTGTTCTGTTTTTATTTGTGAAATACTACAAGTTCAACAATTTTGGCCCTCACTTTAGATACGATGTTTGAGTTAAAAGTTTATTATTGCTATTGAAAAATAGTCATCTTTTTCCTGTCATTGAGGTAACTTATGCAACATTACCAACTTTGTTTGACTGAAGAAGTTACAGTCTCTAAGGTAGATTGCTAACAGTGATAGAACAAAAGCTATCAAAAGCAAATTTTAGTTTTTGACTTTTTGGCTAATTTTATCTAAAGTTACTCACACCCTCTAACTTTGCAAGAAAATTATCCATGCGTCAAAATTGAAATTGAAAGATCATATTACCGAAAAAAATAAAAATAAAAATTGAAAGACCACAAAATTAAAATAAATCAACCTACCTTTTCCAACACTTTCATGAAAGCAGATGATATATTACACAAGTACTAATTTGATCTTCTATTTTGTTTCCTTCCTTTTTGATATATTTGTTAATCATTTTGTGGAATACTGTATGTATTAGGATAAGCAACGTAATAATCCATCAAAAGAAGTTTACTTAAGAAAGTCGTATAAAAGCATGTATCTACAACTATTACGCGTTAAGATAAATTATTACTAATATTTATCGTAATAGAGTTAAATGATTTTAAAAAAGCACTTGTCGCGCAACGCACGACATGTAAAAGACTAGTACGTCTAAAATTTCCAACAAATAATAAATTATTTTGTTCTGTAACTTGTTTCATAAAAAACAAACATATTAAAACTTTTTTGGAGGGAGAAACAAACATATTATATAAGATTTACTCACTGGAAGGATATGCGTATCCAAAATGTAATATTGTGATGATACTTGTTGCTTAAACATGACATTTTACGTTCTGAACTACTCTTTCCATTTCCTATGAACAATTTACTTTGTTAAGTTAAAATGATACTCCTTCTCGTCCTTAATATAAGGTACTTTGATTTGTCTTAGGTTTAACCTAATATGTAATTTTAATTGACAAAAAAAAACTTAAAAATATATTTTCATGTTCTCTTGATTGTTACGAAATAGTTTTAAATTTTTTTTGTCATTTAAAAATGAGTATTATATAAAACCTAGGACAAATTAAAATGCCTTATATTAAGGACCGGAGGGAGCAATAATAAAAGAAAGATTATCTTGATTTAACGAAAATAACATTGTTCAACACTATATATTCACAAGTAACAAAAAGGAGTAAAACCGGCTAAGTTTGTTGTAAAGATTTCGTGCAAAATCAGGATAAGCACGTAACTTGCTTGTACAAGGTCAAAAAACATAAGAGTCACAATCATATTATGTATGCAGTCTACTTGTGCAGAAATACAAGAAATTCCAGAAAAGCTTATTATACAACCTTATATGGAATAAATGAAGCACAGACACCCAAAAACTTAGATTTAAACAAAATAAACACGATACATCCCCCCAAGTTAGGACCCCAATAAATAGTATATAAACACAGGATCGATTAGGTAGTTAATTAGTTAAGTAATTAAGACTGTTAATTAGCAATGAGATTCTTCTTCTAGACTTGAGTATCTAGTTACCTTTTGATCAAGTTGACAAAAGGGTCTTCAAAACTCATTAAGATATGATGAGGAGAAGAAGAGAAATGGAGAAAGTGTCGGAAATAAGGTCCGCCATTGATGAGTTATCCATGGTGGTTTTCAACAAAGTCAAACCCGGCGATGATCATAGTGGTGGTGGTGGTGCCGCCATTGATGAGCAGAAGCATAATAATAGTATTTCTGCCTCACACAATGCTCATATTTCCACTAAGCCATTTCTGGCAGTTTGCAACTTACTTCTTCAAGTTCTTGGTACGTCTCTCCGATCATTCTAAATCATTTGTTTCTTCATCTTGAAATTAATTTATCACTATTTAATCATTTTTATGCAATCAAAGATTCATCAAATTGGGATGTATATATCTATTGATTCTTTCTATCACGTCCCAAAATAACTGTCCTGTGTTTCTTTTTAGTATACGATTCCTAATGTAAATGCAAATCTAAAAATGTGTAATCATTTAGGGACGAGGGAGTATAGTAAAGTACTGTAAGGATATGTTTCATCTAAAACTATTTTTGGTTCTTGTTTTTGTGGTTGATTTGTTCATTTTGAATGAGGTTTTTGAAGATAAGATAGGGCCAACGATGGCTGTATTCAGACAAGACATTCATCAGAACATTCAGGTAAATGACTGACAGTATGCTATGTTGATGAAGCAAATTTTCATTGCCAAGTTGAGATTATCACTACTATTCTCGGTTTCTATTTTTCTTTTTCTTTCGGTTTCTACTTTTTTTTTTCCATTTAAAAAAAAAATCCTTTTGTCATTTTCATGTTACGTGCAACTGCAAACCACACGCCTCTTGTAAGATGCCATTCCCGTCTTTTTCCTAATGAATTGATTATAGTCTCCAAGATTGAGAAATTCTTGCTTTTCTGAGATACTAATGTTTTATTAAAAATAAATAAATTATGTGTACATGAAAGAGGCTGATTTTTTTTTTAAGATTTTTATATTTTTTGATATTGATTGTGACTTAATCCAAAGCGGATAGAGAAGTTGTACGAATCAGAGCCGTCAGTATATTCGAATCTAGTGGAAATATTGAAGAAAGAGAAAGTTGAAGGCAAAGCAAGAACTGGTCATAGCTGTAGTAAAGCCTTTGTTTGGTTGACCAGGTAATTGATTAATTCGTTAATTATATACTGACTTGTTTTTATATAATGAAGGAGGCCAAAAGGCCTACAATACTAAGCGCAGGAGTGATTGAGTGTGATCGAAAGTAACAACTCTGTCTTCTTTCCGTAAAATATGGAAGGCAAAATTCTAACAAATAAAAAATAAAAAATATAAAAGAGATCTCGTCATAATCCAATTCGGATTTTGTAAAAATGACTCGGCATAGCTCATAATTAATACTTTAGGTAATTCGATAACCCTCGTACGAGCAATCATTTGACAATTACAATCCACTTTATTCAAAATGAAACATGAGACAAGAGAGAGCACTAATCCTCACATGTTATTTGGGACCTTAATTGCTATAAGCAAGTTTGTTTTCACAAAAATTATAAGTTGTAAGGGTGAAAATTATTTCAAGAGGTTTATGGAATAGAACCCTCCAATCTCATCTCCAACCTTTCCCAAAATTCTGAAATAATTCGTTTTTCTAACATAACAAGTTTAATGAACGAAAAGTGTAATACAAAAGAGTGTGACATAGAGAGAGTCTCATTTGTATTTGTGTTGATAATGGCAAATTGATATCTTTAAATTTTAATGATATAATATTTGTTTTAAAATTTGTACAGATCATTGCATTTTACTGTTACTCTATTACAATTGTTGGTGGAGGATTTGAATAGGAATTTGGAACAAGCAGTGGAAGAATCCTACAATCTCACTCTGAAGCCATGGCATGGATGGATTTCATCAGCAGCATATAAAGTACTTTCTTTTTATTTCTTAACCCTAACGATCCATTTCGGGGTTTTTCTTCCGTTCCAAAATAAGAGTTATGCTTGCTAAGTAGATTTCGGGACGGAGGGAGTGTGTTATTCTGTTGGTTGGCTTCCTTGACGTTCTTTTCATTATACTTTGCAGGTGGCGCTTAAACTAGTTCCAGATACGGAGTGTTTCATTTCTCTTCTGATGACCAAAAATGAAACTCAAGACTTGCTTAAGGAAGAAATGTGCACCTTCATTTCACTATGTGCTCCTGTTTTAGAAGAAATTCATAGTGTTCTGGTAAAGCCATTTGTTGTCAAATTTTTTACTGATTCCTACAATTTCATAGTTGCTGTCATATCCAACGTTACTTCTTTTGACACTTCTTGCAGAAAGCGTATGAACTGGATAGATTAAGGTGTACTTGAACGAAAAGCGGATGAAAGTGATCAAGCGCGAAAAGAATGTGTATAGGAACTGTGTATATAGAGTAACATATAGATGCAACCCATGTTAAAAGGGATCAATGTAAGCAATATTTGTGCCTTTTCAATAGGTTTTTGTTCTTGGTGGCATAATGCTTAATCCAGAAAAGTTTGTAAGCAAAACCAACCTTTTTGCTTGTACAGCTTTGTTGTTTGAAGAAAAGAAACTGACTCCTGCAGTTTCCTTTATGGGGTTTTGATCCATTTGCAACAACAGATGTGCGTAGCCGGAAAGCAACCACAACGTTAGCTCAGTTTTAACAAGGACTTTTCATTTCTTCTGTTATATTCTTCAAACACATCTTGAATGAGTTTCATCGAGTGATACAGTGGAGCAAGAGCAGAATAAACGGCGATTATCTATTGTTGTGTCGTTGCTGTTGCTTGTCTACATTGTTTAATTGCTGGAAACTGTTTGCCAAACAATTCAGGATTAAGTAGGATTAGTGTTTATGTTCTCTAACATAGTTGTCCTGTCTATACCTAAATTTACACCATTAGCATTCCAAAAGTGGCTAGGAGTATCAAGAAGTGCGACAAGGGCTGCAACTAGTCCAGCGTTTGCTGAAATGCTTGGCTCTGTGAATCTCTTGTCTGCTCTCTTATCGAAGAAATTGTCATTCTTGTCCGGGCCTGCAACCATAGCTCCTTGAAGAAGATTCGGATTTGAACTGTCCTTATAAAGCCAATGATCCCCTTGTTCACATGTGTACGATTTATTATCCCAAGGAATTGATGCTGCTCTATGATGAACTTGGCTTGGATACCGATCACCATATCCTACCAGGTAGCTCATTTTACTTGGATTAATTCCCAAAATGTAGTGAACCTGGCAAATAAAAAACACTTGCAACGTCAGTTATGAATTCAGAATATGGTACAGTCTGCAATGCATAGATGAATATAATGCATTTGTTTATCCAACAATGGTACTATGCCGTGAATGTATTTCCAACCAACGAATCCTTTCCATTAGAGTAAGATACTAAAGAATCCTTACTTGTGATAGCGAAAAATCCCTTAGAGTTTCCAAGGAAAGTAATGATCCGGCACAACTGACATGAGAGACGTGCAATAGGGCTAGATAGTCACCGTACAATTTGGTCAGGAAAGATGCTGTTACAGCATATTGCAATGGTGCATCGTAATCCGGCTTTAATAGAACCAATCCACCTTAAACATAGGAAGAGACAGTATGTGTCGAAATGGCTAAAACTGGTTCAGACCAGAATGCAAACGGAAATTGGAAAAACACATACCTTCTGTCTTCGGAAACTTCAGATTGGAAGTGTAAGAGCACATGAGTAGGTCACTCCTATTTGTTGTCGATATCAAGGTAGGTTCATAGGGGTAGCCAGGGTCCCGGAAATACCTGAGTCGTGTCAGCAAAATCTGCAGCACAACGAATAATGCATCTTTAACTTGGAATCATGATGTAAGAGTGAAAAGTAAAGGTTGGGAAGCTAGAATAATACATACAGCATTCGCAGCAAGTTTGTTATTCCAATTGAGAATCTCCTGTTCGGATGATTGTTCTTCTTCCTCTGCTGAACCAAAATTAGCTATTGCATAGTCAAGGTAGCTGCTGTTACCACTAATAAAGAACAACCAAGTTGCTCCCCAAACCAATTCATCTCTAAAACTAGTTGAGTTATAAAACTCTCTTGCTCTTCCTCCACAATCATCATTTGATGTATACATGCCCGGTTTCTGTGAAGGATCTAAATTCGTGGTGAGATTAAACAATTCTTCCGCGGCTTGGACCAACTTTGTAGAATACTCGTTGTCCTCTTTAAATACTAATGCTGCGGCAGACATGCCTGCAATTATTTCCCCTGCAAGATCTGATGCATTCATGTCACAAGTTGAAACAGGCCTTTCATAGCTCATGTTTTCTGGCCTTTGCCAACAACTAATATCGTTATCCCGAGTATTCCCTCCACTAGTATCATTCCCAGGACTGCCAACCTAAATCAGGTGGAGGAGAAAATACAATCAGAATCAGGAAAATGTGAAAATCACATCTTAATGGATCTTATTTAAGCTGATGGACATTCCTTACCTGAGAATACAGTTTTGCTGGACTACTCGCATTGGGAGGACTAAATATCTTAAGGAGGTAATCGCTACCCCATCTTATAAGATCTTTGACATGTTCAAGTTCTTGAATATTATCATATTTTTCATGATACTCAATTACTGACCAGCTCAATAGAGTAACTGCATACGCGGTGGTAAAGCTGAACTTCATATTATTCCCGCAATCATAATAACCTCCAACAAGATCTATTTGTGTAGCTGAAGTGGTTCCATCATGCAATCCAGAATCAGCTCTAAACTTGATCTTACTATTCTCCGGCAAAGGCCCCGCTGCACAGAGAAACAGAACACTAAATCACATATAACACAAAACTCCTGTAAAGATCCATTTGGTATGTGATCACTTACACTTTTGTGCATCAAAGAAAAGGAGAGCTTGATTAATGGCAAGTTTGAGGTCCATCAAATGACCATGGTGTTGTTGCCTTTGGCCTTGTAGAAACCTTACCAGCAGAAGTGCAACCACGATCATGATAATCATGGTGGCACATGTATAACAAAAACGCTTGAAATGGTTTTTATCCCTGATTGTGAGGTTAAAATCAATGATCTTTGTGAATCTGGAAGGAAGCGAATCCAGCCGGCCATTAGAAGCTTCAGGGAGAAGATGGTTAGAGTCAAGTTCAATTGAGTTCCAACGACTAGAAGAAGGGAGAAGCCGACCGGTACCCGGGATTGAATGAACATAATAGACTGTTGTTGCAGTTGCAGAACTGTAGTTTCTGCTAAGTTCAGAATAGGCTTGCTGAGAGCCTTTAGATTCTTGCATTGTTGGAAAGTTTGATGTTTTTGTCTTTGCTACTAAAAGCTAACAGAAGTAAGCAAAAAATAAAATGGATTCATTCCATTTGCATGCTGGGTGACATCCCCAAAGCATGAATTTTGTTGCATATTATGAGCAATCTTCCAATTTGAGAGATTCCAAAATGTTCTGGGATCTCAATGTTAGTACCCTGCTGATAAGTTCAAAACCATTGTAAAATAATAAATGCAAGCAAAAGATAGTGAATTTTAGATCTCTCACATACATATATCTCAACTATGTTAAATTCCACCAAATCCATGGATGTATTCTCCATCGGTTTAAATTTTGGACAGACTAAAAAAATAAATAAAAAAGAACTCATATTCGTATCCTTGATGGAGCCAGAGGAGAAAAGGAGGCAAAAATGGCAAAACTAATGCTTTCACAATAATTCTGGTCCCTAGCTTTATTAAGTAGATCTACAAATCTCAAATCTCAAGTTCTTGCAAATTTATAAACCTCGAGATGAGCCACAGCTTTATGGCATCAGATTCAGACCACAGAAGTTGGAGAAAAATTTGTAGAAGGTTTAACCTTTTACGTTAGTTTTACAACAAAAATCGGTGTCAAAAAGGCGCCAAAATTCACTAAAAGTAACAATCCAACAGAAACTGCAACCTCAGATCTGAAATCACTGACAGAACAAGTAGTTTAACATTCTGCCTCCTTCACTAAATAAAATCTTCCTGGTTCTAAGTTAGAAAGCTCGGTGCATCAATCATTGAAAGGTCACACCTTCACCACTTACAACCTCACCAATGAGGTGGCATGTTGTATTTGTTCTCTCCGCATCTTCTAGTATTCTATTTGCAGCCTCCTTGTCAACAACTAGAACCATCCCAATTCCTATGTTGAAAGTCCGTCTCATCTCACCCTCATCTACTCCTCCAGCCTAAGAAGTTTCACAAGTAAATGAAAATGTAAAATGGCTGATGGTCTGTAACATTATGCACAATGGAATTTTTAGATATCACGTGTGGATTACCAAAGTGGAACCTATTGAAAACATCTCTTTCCATAAATAAACTTCTGCTACTAGAAAAAAGTACCTCTTGAATCCACTTAAAAACAGGAGGAATTACCCAAGAGTCCTTGTGAATGACAGCCCCAAGGCCCTTTGGGAAAACCCTCGGAATGTTCTCTGTGAAACCACCCCCTGTGATATGAGCAATGCCCTTAACTCCTCCCTTGCCAATAATGTCAAGCACCTAACAGACCATATTCAAGAGTGAACGTTTAGCTCAAACAATGATTCCAACAACAGCTCAATACAGAAACAAATAGGTTTGAGGTATCACCTGCTTCACATAAATGACAGTTGGTGCCATCAAAGCCTCACCTAATGTGACAGATCCACCAGGAAGCTGGTCCTTAAGAGACAGACCACTTCGTTCGAGAACCCTGGCAATATGTAAAAAGACATTTTGCGTAAGAGTAGTTTCAGGATCCATATAAATATTGTATTGATGTCCCTAAATCTTCGTAATAGATATAAACAAATAGCGAAGGCACACTTGTTAAATAAGTATCAAACCTTCTAACAAGAGAAAATCCGTTCGAGTGAACTCCACTCGAGGGAAGACCAATGAGGATATCTCCAGCAACAATGTTTTTTCCGTCAATTACTGAATCTTTTTTGACAATGCCAACTGCAAAGCCACTAAGATCGTATTCACCAGGAGAGTAAAAGCCTGGCATCTCTGCAGTCTACAAGGCACATTCAAACTGAAGGTTTCAACAAAAAAGCAAAGCATTCCCTATTCTACATACGCTACTGATATCTTCACTTAAAATTAATTACCTCATTCAGTAATGACGACAAGCAAAGTGCAGTATAAGTATCAAGAAAATCAAATATTCAAAGCAGAATAACTTAGTTCAGAGGAGACCTTGTATGCAGGTAAAAGTACTTCATAACATAAAAAAAGTCCACTTAACCAACTCTTGCAGGTATAACTACTGAAACACCAGTTTTTACGGATCTAGGAAACTACAGCTATAGCAAGTTAAAACAATGTAAGTGAAAAGATGTTCTTTGATCCATTTAACTCAGGAATTCTAAAAAAGCCAATAAACAATTACCTCTCCACCTAAGAGAACACAATCAGATTGTTCGCAACCATCAACGATACCTTTTATAACCTGCATGAATATCATTTTGTCATCCTGATGTTGAAGAATCTCAGAATTTAAAATAAAATGAGCAAACTAATTCAAGAACCATACTTTCTCTGCAAGATCAACATCAAGATGGCTGGTAGCGTAGTAATCAAGGAAAAATAAAGGCTTTGCTCCAGAAGTGACAATGTCATTAACACTCATTGCAACCTGATTCAAACAAAGGTCAGCCATTGAGCTCAGGAACAATTTCCACCTACAAACTAACATGAACCAACATTTACCAGGTCAATCCCAATGGTATCATGAATTCCAGTTTCAAATGCCAGCTTGAGCTTGGTTCCTACACCATCTGTACCAGCTACAAGATAGGAATCACCTGCTTGACAGAAAGAGCCACAGACAGAAAAGAAATGCATCAAGGAACAATACAAAATGGATAACACACATGAATGATTATCTTCTCCCTAAAACCAAACTACAAAAACAAAACATACATGAAAAACCAGTTGTACTGTATCTCACTAATGTAGACTGATCAAATTAACCAATGGAGACACATTTTTGGGGCAAAAGCAGACAAGTAATGACAAAAATAATTCATGATATTATCCTTTTAGATACTTTAATCAACAACAACATCATCATGCGACATATAAATGACATTGATTCTCAAATTTTAGACTCCTGCACACGTTTTATGTTCTTCCCATCTGTAACAGGTTTACATTGTCAAAGCTATCAGCAGACAGAACACAAAAACTGTCCTCTTGTTCTCGATAAAATTATAAAGGATCAAACACCCTATCTTTTCCCTCTAGTCGAAAAAAATATTACGTCTCCCGGTGCCTGGGTAACTAAAATTAGTGTAAAAAAGAGTTTTAAAATGGGTAATTTAAGGACAAGTGGATCAGTGATGCTGTTCAAAATGTAGCCACTGAAAGAGAGAGAGAACGAGCTGGAAAGCAAGCTTCACGATAGCACGGACGAAAACTAAAGTACACCTAGAAATGGTGAAATTAACCTCCATTGTTGAGTTACAGATATAAGAGTATCAAGCTATGTAGTTTAACCAAGTGCTAATAATACCAATGTACGATTCTTTCCATCAATGTCTGACTAGCCAATCTCAGACCACAAAGTAAAAGCAACAGGTTAAGGACAAGGTCAAGTTCAAGCAAGCAGTATTAAAACAAAGGAAGTTGTGCACGTGCTAACAATATTCCAAAATTATAAGTTCAATAAATCATCTACTAACTTGTACCAATCCAAAATGAATGACACAAAACTTAAACCATATAGGTAACATAAAAAGCCAGAGAAGAGACTGTACCCAGAGGAAATAGCCCTCCAAATCCTCCAATTCCAGGAGCCATCTTGGCAATTCGTCTCACAAGCTCTGTCCCGGCATCAATGTCAACTCCAGCACCCTTATACGTAAGCCCTTCATGACCATCATCATTTGCAGTAGCATTCAAACGAGTACTTCTTGCCGCCATTGAAGAAGAAGGAACACTTCCGCTCCCCCCAACTCTGCAATCAAATTTTCTGCAGGCCCCAGTCGGCACAGAAAGCTTAGGCGAAAGGCAACCAGATGACTTTATAACGGACACACTTGAGTTCTTAGTTAACAATTCTGGGCGAGGAGAAGCAGCAGCCACAGTTGTAATGGACTGAAACAGTTCCACAGTTGCTCCAATGGAAGTTGACATAGCACTTTTCAGAATGAAAACAGAAAACAAAAACAGAGCAAGATGCAAATCAAAAAGGCCAAAAATTTAAAGGGTCATCAAAAACATGACGTATTCTGCAGAGAAGTTGGCGGTGTGGGCTTGGTGGCGGAGAGAAGGTGGTCGGGAAAGAGTTCTTTTTTTTACTTAAAACCTAGTACAGTAACGAAGTTATAGTAAGTATTGAACAAGAACAACGTTTTATACGGGTTTGGGTTTGGATTTGGGTCGGGTCATGGATTTTTCCAAACCCATACACGCACCATTAAAAATGTCTGAAATTTTACTTCCACGTGATTTTGAAGCCTTCACGGTTGACTTTCAGATGACAGCGACCTCCAAAAGTTCAGAAGGGGTAGCTTCAAAATCGTATCTTGAAGCCAATTTTGTTGCCTTTTCTTTGAATTTCAGTTTGGGTTATGCCTAATTTTTATCATCTTTGAGCATATTTTCCTGACAATTTTCTTGTGGGCATGCTGAAATTTCCTCTTTCAATTTCCCACATTCTTCTTGATCCAATCTATGAAGACAAGTTATTCGTTTGGTTCCAACAGTCCCAAATCCTTCCAGGCCTATCCCAGAGGTAGTGATTTTGATTTGGAATCAGGAGCCCTCAAAAGATCCAGGAGGCAGAAGAGTTCCAATCCTTTTCATCCTGTAAAAATGATTAAATCTCTAGGTAACAGAATTAAGTATTATTACAAGCTCCACCCTGTGATGCTGTTCATGATTTCGTTGGCCATTGGGCTCACAATCCTTGTTGTTTTATCTTTATACGAGAGGCAGTATAAAATGATGAGGAATTATAGCAAATTAGATTTGGGTTCTGAGTCTGAATCATATCCATTTGCTCAGCTCAGAAATCTTGTAATGGTTGCTGGGCATTCTGTTTATACTAGTAGTAGTTGTGAGAAGGTAGATAAGGAAAATGCTTGGTTTCTGGAGTCTTATCAGAAGCATAAAGGCCAAGCTGCTACATTTGTTAGTCATATACAGAAGGGAATTGAGATTACAGGGAAAGACAATGCAGCATTGTTGTTGTTCAGTGGAGGAGAGACACGCAAAGATGCCGGGCCTAGGAGTGAGGCACAAAGTTATTGGATCGTTGCTGAATCAAAAGGATGGTTTGGTAAGCTCATGTGAATGATAATTGAATTTCTCCCTTGTCATAAGAATTGCCTTTTATGTTCTAAGCTTGTAGGCTTCTTTGCTTGAAGGAAAATTTGTATAGTGTTTGTTATGTCTTCATTTTGCTCATCCTTTTGCTTGTGGTCTTTGCAATAGGGCAATTCTACTTACCTAATACACTCACTGAGATTTTAGATTTCATCAGCTAGGAGATTATTTGATCACTGTTAACATGCAAAGCTACATTTGGCATGTGCCTTAGCAGTCTCAAATATCGTCTACTTGCTTGTTGCTGACAATCAATGAATTTTCTCCATTGCGAAATACACATTTTGAATATGTTGCATGCTCAGGAAAGCAAGAATTGTTGCTTTAAATTTGTATTGAACGCTGATTGCATCTCATTTATGTTAACTAGGAGATTTTGTATTTGTCTCAGACCTACTTTACATATAGTAACTTTAATATGCTTTTGGAGATAGAAATTTAATGCTATAGATCAAGTATTTCTAAGTGGCTCCTGAAAAGCTTCTGTCAAAAAGGAGGGATTTGCAAATAAGGATTTCCCACATTGTAGGATCAAAGAGTGTCACCTTCCCTGAATATTTCATTATTTGACCTAGTGACGAGTGTTTTGTGGCCATGGAATTTGAAATTCTTGGTGTCTAAGTGACTTCAGTATGGTCTTTTGTCTATAGTCACTTTTGCCTGTCCTGGTACAGAGTTAATTTGTTGTTTTGATATGTTAGTTTCACAAGAAAGATAATTTCTTTATTTTCTTAGCTTTCATGAGATGATATAGGTTGCTTGTCGGGTCAAAATCTCAAGGAATCCAAACAAATTGGGAGCTGCATAAGTTTCCTTCTTTGTGTTTTTTTTCCCCATTGCTGTATTCGGTATTCGTCATTTAGGGGATGTTCCACTTACTGCTCTTGATTAACGGAGTTTAGTATCTTCCTTCTTTGTATCTATATAGTTCCTTAAAAGTCCTTATTTGCTTACCTCCTATTTCATGGTCTGGTTTAAGTGTTTTTAGTATTTTGTGGTATAAATGAATCTTCTGCTATGCATGTAAAGTGTAGATATGCTTAAAATTTAACCGTTTGTCATCACAATGTTGTTTTCTATGAGCTCCTGACATGAGATTGAGTTATTCTGTGGTAAGAAAATTCAGGTTCAATTTGAAAGAGCGGCTGTAGATTCGGGCATCAGTAGATGGTTAATATTTCACTTTAGTTTTTCTTGTTTGAGCCCTTTGTATCAGCGTGAGGGGCAATCTGTAAGACATGCTTCATGATTTTGGAATATTTAATTGTACTCGAGCTATGAATCGAGCTAAGTTATTGTGTGCGCTAATTTGTTTGCTGAGATAACTACTACTTGGAGACTGACTTGGCTTCCCAAAACTTTGGGTGGATAAAAATTATTTAGATTTATCACTTTGTGCAAGCAAAGTGAGCACGATGGGACATTGATATATAATGCCGGTCTCACATAGTATGAAAAAGGCTTGTTGTTGTGTTATCTGGCACTTTGAATGTTATATTTGAACTCTGTATAAATTTTGTTCCAAGGTTTACAACTTCTGGTGATGTGTTTGTTCATTGAACTTTGGATATTAGACATTGCCCCCATCCCAGTTCCTGGGAGCAATGAGTTTAAGGAAAATACAAGCCCAATAAAGAAAAAGAATCGTCCTTTACTTATGAAAAGTTTACAACTAGAGATGTGATTTGCTTCTATGACCTGTAATCTAATCAAATCTGATGATATATTGAGAATGCTCACATCTGTAGGTAAGCAAGAGGAAGTAAGATGGAGGGCACTTACAGAAGAGCATGCAAGGGACAGCTATGAAAATCTTCTCTTTAGTGTCTGCCGTTTTCGAGAGCTTACAGGAATCTATCCACATAATATAACTGTAAGACTTTCTCTTATGCTAATATTGAAGCACATCGTCGTATGGTCTCTTTTGATTCTTGGCAATCTGATGGGATATTGATAAATAAAGAAGAAATCAAAATGTGAATTGTTTATGCCTCAACCAAGTATTCGTTTTAACATTATCAAATGTAACGTGTTTTGACTCTGTTGATAAGCATAGTTGTACTAGTGTAGTTAAAGTATCTTCTTAAAATTCTACCCAAACAATAAAGTGTCTTCTTATTAAAATGTTTTTCAGCCCTTATACTTTCTCGCTGGTCTATATGCATTGATGTCCGTAAATGGAATGGTAGTGTGTTGATTCTTCTTGTATTCTTGCTTTCCCTTCTGTGTGATATGTATGTATTTTTTCATAAGTAAACGTGACACGTGAATGCAAGTCACAACATTTCTCTGGATGCCCTTTAATTTCTAATGTTTTTGAAGTATTGTTATGCAATATTGAGACTTCTTTTACAGTGTCTTCTTAATCTGTTTTCCCAGTCCTTGTATTTTTTACCAGCTGGTTTTGATATACATTCCTGATCATTGATGACCTTAATGTGTTCATGAATTATTGATTTACACGCTTGGTAGCATAGAGATCTTCCATTATGTTCCTCTCTTTTCTGGTGTCTTACCTGATGGTTTCCTGCTTTTATTTCAAGTAAGACTGTGATGAATGAAAATGTTGAGTTGGAAATGCTTGCTTCAAGTATCGAGCTCGATGAAACTTTTAAAGTAATGGACTGCCAGTTTACATATTCAATAACAGTTACATGTTTGCTGTGTATGAAATCAGGTTGTCGGGTATGATTTTAAGGAAGAGAGGTTTGTGAATTTACATCGCTCTGCAATTGGATTTCCCGAGACAAGGTTCTTTTATGCGGGAACCCCGTCTTCGGAGACTTCAAGGGAAGCTGCATTGAAAGGGGAAGCATTGGTTAGGACACAATTCCGCGATGATCCTTACGGGTGCCTGACATCTCTTCGTCGTAAGAAGATTGGGCGTGACCCTTTCCACAGGACTATTCCTTATCCCATTGGCTGTCCGGAAATGGAAGGATTGTTTAGATACTGTGGCACAGCACCGTATTCTGGTCCTCTTCCATGGGCATAGTAAGTTCAAGCACATATGACTATCATGGAATGAACATTGACAATTTTGCATTGATACAACAGATGTAGACATATCCACTATAGGAGTTATTATCTTTAGAGAGCAATTTAAGTTTAGATTTCTTTTACATATTTGTAGATTGGTATATGATTAAGAACCATGCCAAAACACTAAAAAACACCATGATAAAACAATCCATAGTGAACCTCTTGACTACTTGAAAACTCATGGTATTAATCAAAATACTATTGTGTGGGAGCTGTGTTTTGAAGAAGTTCTACATCATCAAAGTTGATGTTTTCATAAGTAGAAGGGCCATCTATGGATGGCTTTATAACTGTAATAAACAGTATGTTGTAGAAAATGGTAAAAAGCACAAGAGCAGTGGCTAAAGTTGCGAGAAACGACCCTGAAAGTTGTTTCTCTGATTCTGCTTCTTGTTCGACTAAGCGTCCGAGGTTGATATCTGAAGCTTTAATTTTGGGGGTGCTCTCTGGTTTTGTGGCAATAGATTGAAGCTGTTCATCTAGCTTTCTTAAAGCTTCCCGGGCCTGAACTGGATCAACCTCAAACTCAGAATCTTTCTTGACAGCAGCAAGTATAAATAGGCTGTGGAAATCGCGGCTTCTGCTTCTTTCCGGTAACCCTGTGGGCCGATTCCGGCCGAGTTTTGACCTGAAAGTTTTCTTGGTTGTGAACGGGAATGTGTGGGAAGAATTGGAGAGCTGAATAACGGGAAGCATTTGGAAGAAAGATTTTATATTCAGAGTCACAAATTAGGCTATATATTTGTTGTTGAGGAAACTAAAAGGGTGTGGATATGAAGTGTGTGGTCGTTTATATTATACCCCCTTATCTTTTTATTCTTCATTCTGGGAAACCTGAGAAAAGCAGACTATATAGGATATGCTTTGGTTAGGTATTTTATACTAGTACTAATACTTTGGTATAATAAATAATGATGTTACTTGTGTACATGTTTTATACATTTCTAATTACTAATATTTTTACATTTTTAATTAAAAAATAATTATAATTACATGCAGCCACTTGCTCGCAAACTCAAATGTTCCCCTAGAAGATATCAAATAAGGAAATGACTAAAATAAATTTGTTATACATATACTTCATTTTCTTTTTTCTTTTTTTTTCTCTGTTTTTCTTTGTTTTTTTGACTATTAAAATGGAAAATTATTTAATTTTTTTATTTTCTACATGTAATTACAATATAAGTTATTGATAATCTAAGTTAATTTTAATGAAAATTCTTTTATTTCATAACAAATGATATATTTAATTTCAAATGTTAATTATTTATATGTGCTTCAATATAAAAAACTTAATATGGAGTATTTCGTTTTAACTTAATGTATGATATATTTTTAAAAAGCTTTTAAATTGTACAATTAAAAAAATATGAATTAAAAGACATTTTTTACTGTTTATAAAAATTGACGATAATGTTAGCATATGTATCATCTAAAATTCAGTGGGTATATTGTAGATCAAGCCAAAATTTTGGTGATAAAAAAGTAGTTCGCCCTAACTTTAATATAGTTAGCCCAATACAAGTTTTTTTTTTTTTTTTGTTTATTATTTATTTATCTATATATTTTACCGAAGATGAGTAGTAGTAGTATACAAATTCTCTTCTTAATTTCTACGTACAGAGTCCCCTTTGTTCTAGGATTTCTTCGATCCATAACAAAAAAAATTAAAAATTCTCACCCTCATGATCATCACGAATCAAAAGATCATGAGAAAAACCCTATATCATTCCCCAAATACAAAAATCTTAACGAATAAATTTAGGTTTCAACTCATTCATAAGTGTTTCCTTGCAGAAGAAAACCCCCTTCTAATTCCCTTTCAGGAATAGGTTTCGGGAAAAACAAAAATTCCTCGTATTCTCGAAAACCTTGTACTACTTTTATGCATGATCAGCTAGTCTCCTGCCTGATAACTTCCATACCCAAGTCTTTTTTTTTTTTTTTTTTTACTATTCTTAGTCGGTAAGAAAAAACATCAGATGGCAACCCTAGTTATGGAAGTAGTGATGCTGGACAATGATCATGACGACGTTGCCAGCGACGACGATGAAGTATCCATTTTGCATGCAAACCCAGTTTTGCTCGAAAAGGGTCGCAATTCAAGTTCTGCAATGAACAGCACTGGAACAAAGCACAACAACAAAAGGGTCATTCTTGATGAAGATGATGATGATGTCGATGAAGTTCAAGTTATTTCTTCGAGGACTAAAAGAATGTTATATTTAGGTGAGTGTTCGAATTCTAAACCCGAAACCGTTACAATTACAGATGATGATGATGATGATGATGATAATGATACAGTTGATCAGAAGGATGATGATGATACATTTTTGTGTGATTTTTGTGTGGATAAGAAGCCAAAGATTGAGAAATTTTCCATAAAGGGTTGTAATCACACTTATTGTTCAGAGTGTCTGGCCAAATATGTAGCTTCAAAATTGAAGCAAAATCACACTCATAATATCTCATGTCCTTCAACGAGGTGGTGTAAAGGAAGGTTAGAGCCTCAGGATTGCGGTTCGATTTTGCCTGCAGAAGTGTTTGATAGGTGGAATAATGCCCTTTCTGAGGCAATGCTTTTGGCTTCTGACCAATTTTACTGTCCTTACAAAGATTGTTCAGCTCATCTGGTTGACAAAAGATCATCCGCCGCGGGGAACAGTATTGAGGCTATTACCGATTCTAAATGCCCACATTGTAGGAGAATGTTCTGTGCAAGTTGCGGAGTTCCATGGCACGCCGGGATTTCGTGTGAGGAGTTTGGGAAGTTGAAGAAGGATGGAAGAGAAATGGAGGGTATTAAGGTGATGAATGTAATAGCAAAAGACAATGAATTGGAAAGTTGTCCTGGTTGCGGGTTTTTTGTTGAGAGGACTCAAGGGTGCAGGTGAGTTTTTTTTTTTCAGTGATATTTTAGATTCTACTTGATGATTATGATTATGTGTGTGTTCTGTTCTTTTTGTTTGTTCTCCCTCCATCAGAAGAGTTCTGTTGAACTAAAACTGTAAAATGAAACAGTATTAATTCTAGGCCTTTTTCATCATTGTTAATTCTAGTATACTCAACATCTTGTCTTTAATTCATGGTGCTACATAGCCTATATACCTTATAAACAAATCGAGCTATTTTAGTAGATTAGGGATGTTTATTAACCAAAAAAAAAAAAAGTGTCTATAGACTTTGCCAAGTTGGAGTTGGTAAAGATGAGAAATTCAGTTGATTATGATTTTGACTTGTATATAATGAATTTGGTGACCATGACAGAGAAATGACAATGATCTTATGAACTACAATGAGACCTCAGGGGCGAGGGGCAGCTTGTGATCTTTTCCAAAACACACCCTTGACCCTTCACAATTCTTTTCCATTTACAGAATTCCTTGCATATGATATTTTGCTGTTGGTACTCCCTCTGTCCCAACATAAAACTTTTTGTTTGTTACGTAGAATTCGTATTTTGGGCCAGAGGGAGTACTTCAGTAGACTTGGTTACAGCTTATTTGCTTTGTATCAGTATACAGTATCAGCACATAACATCATGTATTCATGTCATAGATTTTCAAAAGAAATTGTTATCTGAATTGCTATTGCCATTAAATTGTCACGTTTTTTCCTATATTTTCATCCATCCTCCTTTACATTTGCATTCAGGTTTTGGCAGTGCATGAATATCTCTCTACCCTATATGTTGTTTTCATTCTCTTCCTCAAAACGCAAAAGATTTATGCTGTTTTCTCCATAACCTGTGGCAATGCGCAGGTGTGGTCTCTTCTTTGTCTGTGATTGAGGATCTCATTTTACGAAAGGCCACAGGTTGAGCCACCTGCATTATAAAACTCTGTCTGGTTTCAGTGAGTGTCTTCTTCTGATTGCTGATGGAGATGGAATGCGAGGCTAGCTGTTCTTAGTGCGAGAGGGAATGGAAGTCATGACTTGAGTCGCATGTTTCATACACGTTAAGAAAAGAAACTGATGCAAATTAAACTTGAAATTCTTTGATGTAATTTATGCAGGATTGTTTAGCTGAAATTTCCGGAATCTCTTTTATATCTTAATTACGTACAGAAAACTCCAAACCCTCAGAAAACTAGTGCTCTTTTGAGCTTGAGAATAAATACTTTTTCGAATACTCTTTAGGTCTGATTAATTATTTTTTTAGCTTGAGCTGAATGGCTTAAGGGAATGTATGGAAGAGTTAGTTATCCTGTGACCAAAATATTGTTTAGAATTTTAAATCTTTGGAATAACAAGTCCTCTTTCTGTGCTTGAGCTGAGTACCCCTTTTGAGCATTGCTTGATTATGATAGATCACCACTTTACCTTAACAGTTTCAAAAACCTAATTATGAAATCAAAAGATGTAAAAATTTACATCTGCTGAAGTTTTGGTACAAAGGGATCACTTGAATGGAGAGTGCAGAGGCTACACATGTTTCCGCATGTTCTTGTTCTCTTTTTCTTTTTATGCTCCAAAACTGGTAGTGGGAATGGAGCTCATGACCTCAAAGGCACTCTACCAACCACACTTGGTAGTGGTATAACTCTTGGGTTCTTAGCTACCTGTAAAATTTATACTGTATATATGATCAACAATTTCATTTTCATTCCCAAAAAAGTATAGAACATATGAATGATTTCTGATCTCTGTAGCTACTGTAAGGTTCACATAACTTTATTTTTATGTTTTGTTTTTCTCTAGGAAAATTAATCAGTAACCACCTAAATTCAGAAATTCTCGTCTGCGCTTCCCTAGTTCCCTGTTTCTAGGAGTAACCAATACAAAATCTTACAAATCATTCAAACATCCCTTTTGTATTCTGCCAGAAAATCCAATGGCAATCCCAGCGTTGGAAGTAGTACTGTTACTCGGACAATGACGTGATCATAATCATGATGATGATGTTGCCAACGACGATGATGACTACTGTTGTTCTTTTGCATGAAGATCCAGTTTTGCGCAGTCAAAAGGTACAGTGAAGATAGAGAATTTAGTTATTTGATCTTGAAGTCTAGCACTGGAACAAGGCACAATAAAAGGGTCCTTCCTGATTCTGGCTTATGAGAAATTTCACCGTCCTACTATAAAGATTATTCTGCCCTTCTGGTCAATGAAAGAATTGAGAGCATTGAGCCTATTACAAATTCCGAGTGTCCAAATTGGTGGAGGATGTTTTGTGCAATGTGCAGAGAACCATGCCACACCGAGATTTCGTGTGAGGAGTTTCAGAAGTTGAACAAGGATGTCAGGTTGATGAATCTGGCAAAGGACAAGAAGTGGCAAAGCTGACCTAATTGTAGGATTTTTAGAAAGTGTTTTCCATTTATCACATACTGAACCAGGTGTTAACAGTACTCTTTTTTCTAGGACGGAGGAAGTGCACTTTGTACACAACCTGTTTCATCAATATTCCTTAGGTTACAAAATTCTTTACATGCATGCCAAATTGGATTTGGTGAGAATGCAAGTTTTAGTTGACTGTGGTTTTGAATAGTATTGAATTGTTGTGACCATGACAGATAAATGACAATGATTTTGTGAAACTACAATGAGACCCTTTGCCTGGGGCACTAAACAAAGAAAAGAGATTCTGACTTATCATTTGTGTCGCTATTTGCAGATGCATTTATGCGGTTAAGTATCAATATTAGCACAAAGCATCATGTTATTTTCAGCAATTTTTTTTTCTGAATTGCTAATACCGTTTTTTGTCACGTTTCTCCAACAATTCCATCAATCTTATTTTGTCTTGGATACAGGTTCTGGCAACATTGTATTTACTTCTCTCATCCTATTCTGTTTTCAGTCACTGAATAAGATCAATGCTATCTTTTCACTGTAACTTGGTATTTACTTCTTCTTCTGATGATGGTAGATGGAGGTGGCACTCTAGGCTATCTTAGAATGCATGTTTCATGTGCAGAAAGAAACTGATGTAAAAGTAAATTGAAATCTGTAAAACTGTAATTTATCCAGGATGGTTAATCTCAAATCTTCAGATTTGTCTTTTGATTGTGGAACTCCAAATCCTTAGACTATTAAGTGTTTTTTTTTTTAATTTTTTTTTATTTGAGTTTGAGCTGAATACTTTCTGAATATATCTTTATTCAGTACCAATACAAACTCAAAGATACACCTTAATTCTGATTATCTTTTTTGCTAATTAAGCAAGTGTTTTATCTCTTTACTTATGGTTTGTAGGTTGTGTACCAAAGAAAAAGTTCAGCCTGTTGAAACTATTAGTATTTTATATTTCTAACCTCTTACAACGAATCGGAGAGCAGCAAGAGAGATGTAATTAGTCGAAAAATAATCGGGATGAGTGTAAAGTGACAATGTCTGTGTCTTCATCAAGTTTTAAACCACTTTAAAATCCTCTATAGTGATTTGATTTGTTATTATAAGCTGAAACTCAGAACAGCTAAACATGTACATAAACCTGAAATATCAAAAGTAGGGTTCTGATTTGATTTGTATGATATTGTAGATGTAAGAAATCTTTATTATGATTACTATTAATATAATAATTGTACTGTAGATAGTAATTCATTTTTTTAATCTTTAAATCTAAAAAATTAAGAAATTGTCGTTTCTCTCTCTGCGTTATTATTATATTTTTGACTGCAACATAGTTGGACTGTTCCATTCACAAAAATTAGTGTAAGATTAAGATTTCTAAAAAAGGGCTTGAGTCATGCCGTCAAATATATTAAATTACAAATTTCTTCATGCTCCAAGCCTCCAACAATTGCAAATTGTCAAAGTTGGCAGCTTGAGTCTGCTGCTACTATAGCTCAAGGTGAGACTTTTTGAGATAAAAATTCGTACTAAATTATTTAGTACACAACATGGACCAAACCATTGATCCTCATTTATTCAAATGTTTGTTAATGTCAATTTGTTTGTCCAAAATAATTTTCATCAGCAGGGCCAAATAATTACAGGCCAGCAAGAAATTCAACTAATTAGCCCTTCATTTTACATAAATAGATCACTACTTTTACCTTAGAAACATCAGAGCATTGAATCCCACTGAAAATGGCAGCTCCATCTCTTGACAAATACAGGGATTACCTCAGTGAAGAGGAGCTGAAGAACACCACATGGAAGTTTGGTCCTCCCAACTATGATGCTGTCAACAAACTGTTTGAAGAAGGCAGAGCCCAGGTTTGGATATGTTCAGTGGATCTTCATGCTAGTAGTTTTAGTTTCAAAAAATCCTGGAAATGCGATTATGATATGAACAAAAAAATTGGATGATTTAATTTGTTTTTGGGAACATATAGGAATGGCCTGTTGGATCACTTGAAGAAAAACTGCAAAGGCTGCTGTTCTCATTTGAGATGGAACTTGTCCACAAAGCCAACCCTGATGAGTGCAAATCAGTAGATACCAAAAAGTTCTTACTAAGTGTCAATGGTGAGTGACTATTTTTCTGGGACGAAGTGAGTAATTTAGTCTTCTTAACTCTCTAATTCGGGATGTTGATGTATGTAGGAAGGAAAGATGTGACATGGGAAGAGATCGCGAAGCGTGGTGGAAGCTACAATGTGTTCCTGGAAACAAAGTTGCCAGAGAAATTCCGGGTCTATGATCCTGAGAAAGAAACAGCAGAATCTGCCCTGAAGATTTTCATGGCAGCATTTCCCCGTGGATTCGCCGGCGAGATCCTTGAAGTTTATTCAGGACCACCAGTAATGGCATTCAAGTACAGGCATTGGGCATACATGGAAGGGCCTTTCAAGGAGTATCCGGCAACCGGACGCCTGGTTGAATTTTTCGGGGTTGTCACTCTGACGGTTAGTACCCCTCTGTCTGTTTTTGCTCAATTTATCAAGCATCTTTGCGCAGTATATTTGGGAAATATGTCTGAAATTTCATGGTGTTTTAATTTGAATAGGTGGATGAGAAAACCAACAAGCTAGTAAGGATGAACACATATTTGGACCCTGGACAATTTTATGAAGGTCTTCTAGGAGCAAGTTCTGATTGATTGATATAAAGACTCAAAATAAATTCCTCCGAGGAAGAATGGTGCAGTTTTCATCAGTGTTTCTCTTTGTATTCTCAGCTGATCTTTCTTTTCAAAAAAAAAAATATATATATATATATATATATGTACCAATAATGGTTATGTTGCTGGAGTCAAATGTTACAAGACTCTGAATCCTGGTTCTAATTTCCTTTTAACTTGCAAACTGTAAGAATTGGTTCCAGCATCTCAGGGACATAAAGATTTCATATGGAAGAAAAGAACAACTGGTCAAAAAGAAACTGAAGCTACAAGCTAAATTGCATTTGGAATACTTGATTTTTCAGTTTGTAGTGTTGCATTGTGTTCCATTTCTGTATTTCTATTGTGTCGGGATGCAGAAAGATGTGACGAGTCACAAAAATATCACAAAACAAACCAAAAAAAAAAAAAAAGGTCCAATCAGAACACGAAAAAGACTCATCATGGTCAAAGCTGGCGGCCTAATCATTGAAGCCAACTAAATTGATAATGTTTTCCTTTCTACAAATTTGGTGATTAAGAGGTTCCACGAAACTTCTTGTTCAGAGTTCGCTTCTTGCTTGTTAGATTCAAAGAATTGACATTATTCTACTCAAACTTGTCAGTGCCAAGAAACCAAATTCAAATAGTGGCTCTGTCACAAAATTATTTTAAATCCTAAAGTTTGGATTAAACCATAAAATTAGTGGACTAAGATGACTTTGACAGCAGAAGAACTGCTCATTGTATTTTGTGATTCCTATAAATAGATATAAAGTTGTTAGTTAGTTGCAAGAAGCACAGTTTGCCCTCTGAATTTATTCATCAAATGGCAACTTCAGCTGCAGAAGCTGGAGATAAGTACAGGTCATATCTCACTGAGGAGGATTTGAAGAACACCAGTTGGAGATTTGGCCCTCCGAATTACGACGTTGTGAACAAACTGTTCGAAGAAGGCAGAACTCAGGTTAGTTTTGGCTGTGACATCAAATTCATTCTCCAAAAAACAGAATTCCAATGAAAATTTTCATGTTCATTCATATGAAGTTGTTTTGTCTTTAATGAGCAGAAATGGCCTGAAGGATCAGTTGAAGAGAAAGTGCAGAGGCTTCTGAAGACATGGGAGATGGAGCTTGTCCACAAAGCCAATCCTGATGAATACAAAACACTAGATGCGAAAAACTTCACAATCAGCATAAATGGTTTGTGGGAAAATGGA